AAAAAAGCACAAGGAGACTCATAAAGAGGATTCTATATGTTGGAACAACTGTAATGGCTCATTGGGAACTACGATGAAAGCTCTTGATCGATCCTGACCCACATGTGCATCTCCTAAAAACAATATTTCAACCAATATATTAAATAAAAAAAAGCACAAGGAGACTCATAAAGAGGATTCTATATGTTGGAACAACTGTAATGGCTCATTGGGAACTACGATGAAAGCTCTTGATCGATCCTGACCCACATGTGCATCTCCTAAAAACAATATTTCAACCATCTTTAGATATGATATCCTTATAATATATTATATATATATATGTATGTATATGAAAGTCTCAAGAGACCCCGCATATGACTTGGAAATGGTGGCACTATTAATGCATATGGTCCATCGTGTCTCCTATTGTCTTTGAGAAATACCACCACTTAACAAAACCAACATCCCCAGTGCTCTTATGATCTATCTTGGATATCATTTCTGATTTTGTTGATTTTAGAAATCCACTAATCATGCCCCAACAATATTTGTGTTATCTTATAATTATTTGTCTCATAATTGATTATTTTCGTTTGGATTTTTTTTTTATTTTTTTCTTTGACGTATGTACAATTCAGTTTTATCTTCCAGTTTTTTAAATAAAAAAAAAAAAAAAAAAAAAAAAACTTACATACATTTTGGAAGATGTGTACTCTCATATGGATATTGATATTTGGTACCTTCCTTGATCTTTCGAGTGAACATCTCCAATCAACTTCGAGATTCTAATTGCTGTTATATTATTGTATATCAAGTTTGAATCTGATCAAGCTCTGAGATACATTATTTTATATTCATGTGAGGGGAAAAAAAAACATGAGAAAAACTATTATATTAATGGACCACTTTAAATAATTAGCTACACTTCTCAGTTCACTAACTTGAACTGTTCAGAGAAAGTAATTAAGCTGCAATGAATTGGCTCATTGTGTAATAAAAGTTGCTTTGATCAAGTACAATATTGTGCATAATGGGCAATGGAGTATACATACACACATCTTGCCCTAAAATTTTTTATTATTTTAACACAATCTCAAACTATAGTGCTGACGTCGTCTTCCTCCATGCATAGTGTGAAAGTATATATTGTTTATTATAGTTGCACCCATGCTCACAGATTAGTTTAATTATATCTTTATTTTTCTCTTTTCCAATTAATCAACGATGGAATTTTCCTGTGCCACCCAACAATGCCTATTTGCTTTGAAAAGCATATTAAAAAAAGATGGTTTCTTTTGTTGTCATTCATGCATGTGGTCTAATTGAAATTTTATAAAGCTTCATTTCGTACTTGATTGACACCCGGCAATTTTAATATATATGCACACATACATACACACATATATATATATATATATATATGAAGGTAGTAGGTTTTATGCATTTTGTGATTGGAACTTCATGGTGATCATGTTAAGGAAGTCCAATTCCAAGTTAGATGTGACGTCATTTTCATTCAAAGTAAAATTATTATATTAATTCGGTTCCTTTCATTCTGACTACTAGTCATTTGTCACTTAACTTGGTCTACACTGTTTATATTGAATGTAGCCAGGGAATTGATTTGCTTCCAACTCCAACAATAATATTTTTTGTATGTGTGTACATATATACATACATATATATACATATATATACATATATATATATATATGTGAGAGGAATTGGGCTCTAAATGCTAACCAACAATTCAAATTAACTTGATTTAAATAAGAACTTGCATGCATGCATGTGTGGTGATCATCATATATAAGTTGTACTAAGTCTTTCATGATTAAGTTGTATCAAGTTATGGACCATATATAATTGAGGCGTCAGGTTTATCGGACCTACACACCTTGTTTTTGTACGCTAACAGAAAAGTCCTAAACGTATATAGAATACAAAACACACATAATGTATATCAATTATATATCATCACGTGGATTTTGATGTATTCAATCATAAGTATGCAACGTTATTGAACAATGAATAAACAATTTCTAATAAACTTGGTCTTTGTAATATGCATAATTTATAAGAATTCACCCAATTGGGATATCCATTTAGAAGCTGAAACCATTACCAAAAAAGAGGGCTCATAAACTAATAGAACTCGTCTCAAAAGGAGGTAAAATGCGCTCCTCTTTATTTATTCTAATAAAGAATTTTTAATAAGTTCATTTTTTTGAGGAATAAGTTCATTCTTTTTAATGTGCATTAATATTAGAAAAACTCATTTGTAAAAATTCTTTCCGCCTTAGTCATACGACGAGTATATCAACGATTATCAATGGTAGAGCCAGAAACTTTTTTCAGGAGACACGAGTTAAATCAAAATTTTAAAAGAAAATTTGTAAGAAAATTTTCAGGGGATTTTTTTTCTTCTTTTATTTCTTTTTTCAAATGATTTAGACCTCTAATAGTGTTAATTCACTTTCTAAAATTTAAAGTCTACAAAATTATCAATTTATATAGTAGTCTAGTTATTTTTTGCTTTCAACCAGGATTTTTAAGTTTGAATTATTAGTGTAATAAAGGGTCAAAATTTATGGTATAATCTAAATATATAAAAAGTATTATAAATATGAATATACTTAAAATTAAAAGTAAAATTTTGGTTCTCTCAAAAGATTTGGAAGATGATTGAAAATATTTTTAAAATAGATCTAAGAACTGTAATTATAAAATTTCAGGGGGGGGCAACTTGAAGCGAGAAGTGCAAATTTTAGGGGACAAAGTTTAAAAGGGACACTTGGCAAGCCCCCCCTCCCCCCACGGGCCTCAAGTAGCTCTCCCCTTGACGACTATATCCATCAAAAAATATGGGACATTGGCTCTCTCTGATAAGGTTTCTTCTATGGTTCGTAAATATGATTCAACATTTTGTTTAACGCAATCCATTTAGAATTGAAAAATACTTAGAGACACCATCAGTATTAAATACCACAACTAATAAAATGTAAATTCTATCTATGGACTCCATAATATGAGATTCATTTTCTATTATAGAGTGATATATGCTAAACACTATTAGTACCATATCACATTGTTCGTTACCATATGCATTACGATAATTACGTGTGGTTTCATGACTTTTAGTCGAATGTCAATGTCATTATCTTGCCCCTCTTTCAGTGTTTCTCTTTTAAGTTGAACGCACATTTTTTTTAAAATCAAAACACACCACGTCTTCAATTTTAAAATTGCGTCATTTTTTGCAGTTTAGGGTCCGTTTAATTCGCTAATTCGAGTTGAGATGTGATTTTATGTGAAAATTTTTTTACTGTAGCAAACAAGTTAAATGTGACTGTTTCTAAGAGTTTTTACTATAATAAAACTCAAATCGGTAAAATGAACTGAGCCTTAATTTTCACCCTAAAACAAGTATGGCATGATATTTTTGAATAATGAATAAAGAATAAAGAATAAAGAATTTCTAATAAATTGTTTTTTTTTTCATACGTACATTTATAAAAACTAAAAATCCTCAGAAAATCCAGAGGAAGCCCCTCTAATACCTGCATAAATTTATGTTGTTCTTTAAACATGTTATAAGATTTCTAAGTTCATTTTTTCTCTTATATATTTACTCAAGAGGAATTATAGGACGACAACACAAAACTAAATAAAGGAAAAATTGCATAATTTACTTTAAAAATGTACGATTCTAGATTTTTACTCATCATTTTTAATTATTACCCTTTTAATAATATATTTATTTAATTAAAAAAATTATTTTTCAAAATTAAGGGGTAAAAATCTTAACTTATATATTTTTAAAGAGTATTTATCTCATTTTCTCATTTAAGAAACGATAGAGGCCGTACCTCGAAAAACCGGGTCATGCCGTTTTCTTTATTATTTTTTGGGCTTGATCTTTGAATCTACACAGCCCAAACGATGCCCAACTTTAATTTTTAGGAAAAAATATAGAATTTATTAAGAGTGCACGAAATTAATCTTTTTGTTAATATAATTATTTAATTAAAAAAGTTATAAATTATGAGTAAATAGTAAAAATCAAATGATGCACTTGATTACCTAACTTTAAGTCATCATGGACCGGCCCAATTGTAACTGTTCAGACATCAGCCCATTAAAATGGGGCTGAAACTGAAACGGAAACGGGCGAGAGATTAGAAGAAGAACCTGACCGTAGCTTTCGGGTTTCGGCTAACTTGGAGCGAGAAAAATACAGATAAGGATATTATGAAGCCCCACCTTTCATTTCCCTCTCTAACTCTTAACTAGGCTCCAACTCTATCACCAACGGAGATATACGGAGAAGAACAAGCTTCAGGGACTTGTAAAAGTTTAGTTTTGGAGTCATTTTTTAGCTCAAGTTTTGGCCTTTTGAAGCAACCAGAGGTGAAATACTAAAATTCCTGCTTTTTCCGTTAATGGGTCTTCGGATTTTCCACTGTTTAGTGTGTTTGTGTAACGTTTCCGTGATGGCTTGTCGGCGGTTTCGGTTTTTCTTAGCAGAATTTGCGTGTTTTCTGATAATTTTTTAGGTTTTAGTGGGACGATAAGTATTGGGTTCTTGTTGTTTTTACAAGTTTTCTTGTTTCACACTGCTTTTATGTCATCGAAAAATTCGTGCTATTATTTTTCAGTGATAGTGTGAAAGTGAATTTATTTTGCATTGGACTCTGGGGAATAAGCATTATGGAAAGATGACCAGCACAAAAAAAAAAAAAAAAAAAAAAAAAAAAAAGAATTATAAAAAAAAAAAAAAAAAAAAAAAAAAAAAAAAAAAGCATTATGAAAAGATAATTCCTTGAATTTCTGTTCAGTGTTTGTGTTGCAATGTTCAAATTTTTTCTTCAGAATCGAGTTAATTTTTTTTTTATCAGGGTTAAGTTTGTTTGAGCAGGGATTCTTCTGTTGAGTAATTTGTAATCAGTATGTAATACATGCATACATATGTATATAGTATAATTATGTATGTTTGGTTATAGACCCTATAGTTTCCGAACCTCGGTCTAAATTATCAGAATTTGGCCATAGGTTTTTGGCTGACTTTTTTTTTTTTTTTTTTTTTTTTTTTTTTTTGTAAATTTTAGCTGGCCGAAATGAGTATTTGAAACTTTAACTAATTAGACAAAAAGAGGATATTCTACTGGTAAAAACATTTGTGAACATCAGCTATCAAGGGGGTACAATGGCATATCGCTAAGTTCCCTGATTGGCTTGAAGTGAAGAACTGTCAATGAATTTATAGTGCTGATATTTTCAGGAGAAATTAATGGTAGTTAAGTGGTTAGTTTTGGATGTTCTCATTTTGTGATGCTGTTTTGTTTCACATATTTTTTCACCAAACTTAATTTCCGTTTTTTGTTGAACTAGTTTGTATATTGAATCAAGATGCCACTCCATCTTCATTTACCTGATTGTAAAATACCCAAAAAAAAAGTTGGTAGCTAAATTAATTTACTAACACCTGGAAGAATTTCGTTTTTCCACTCTTGTTCATAAGTTTTTTCTGCGCAGGTGAAGCAAGGGATGACGGACTTGCTCTAGTGGAAAGCTTCTGTGATTTGATTCAATATGACACCTGTAATTCCATACTCTATAAGCAATGTTTCGCTTATTCCTGGAACAGTGTTTAGAACAAGGAAAACTTATTGCTCAACAAGATTCAGCTTGTCAAGGAAATCCACAATAAATACACGATCCCCACAAAGTTTTTTGTTACCTCGTTCAGCATCTTTTGGATTACTTACACCATATGGCAGGGGTTGTTCTTTACATAATCAATCTAGAATCTATTTATTATCAGCTACGGGGACTGATGTAGCTGTGGAGGAACCCGATTCTCCAGTTACAGGTGAAGATTCTGCTGGAGACTCAGAAGTTTCATCTGATGCAGCGGAAGTGAAATCCGATGTGACTCCAACTCCAGCTACACCAAAACGTTCAAGACCTGTTAAGAAAAGTGAGATGCCACCAGTAAAGAATGAGGAGCTGGTTCCTGGTGCGACGTTTACTGGCAAGGTGAGATCGGTTCAGCCATTTGGTGCATTCATCGACTTTGGAGCTTTCACAGATGGCCTGGTACACGTGTCCAGGTTGAGTGATAGCTTCGTCAAGGATGTCGGAAGTGTTGTTTCTGTTGGGCAAGAAGTGAAGGTGCGATTAGTTGAAGCAAACACGGAGACTGGGCGGATTTCTCTCTCTATGCGTGAAAGTGACGATGTTGATAAAGCACAACAACGGAAAGATACTTCTGCAAGTAATGATAGGGCTGGACCTGGAAGAAGGAATGCTCCAAAGTCTAGCCAGAGGAAAGCCGAGGCAAAGAAAGTATCAAAGTTTGTCCAGGGACAGGATCTAGAGGGCACAGTGAAGAATATGAACAGGGCTGGTGCTTTCATATCTCTTCCAGAAGGGGAGGAAGGATTCCTGCCCATTGCGGAGGAACTTTCTGATGGATTTGGGAATGTGATGGGGGAAACTTCACTTGAGGTCGGTCAAGAAGTCAGCGTTCGGGTGCTGCGTATCAGCAGAGGACAAGTGACCTTGACAATGAAGAAAGCAGAAGATATTCCAAAGTCGGATGTACAGATCACTCAAGGGATCCTCCACACAGCTACAAACCCGTTTGTGCTGGCCTTCCGCAAGAACAAAGACATTGCTGCGTTTTTGGATGACAGAGAAAATATAGAGGAAGTGGCTGAAAAACCAGTGACACCAAAGGTTTCGGAAGAAGTGGAAAAGGAGGTTAGTGAAACGGTGGCAGATTGCCTCACAGAGCAGGACCAACCAGTAAGCAGTGACGAAACGACAGTTGGTGTCACTTCTGCAGTGGATGAAAAAGTGGAGACTGATGAAGCTTCTTCAGAGAAAGCAGAAGCCAGTGCATTAGAAGATCCTATAACTGAGGAGGCTTCTTCAGTAGATGAGGCAGAGAGTGAGGAAAAGCCCGACTCGTCCGCTGAATCAGCTGAACCAATATTATCTCTGGAAACTTCAACAGCTGAAGAGGTCTCAAAAGAACAAGCGGATGATGCTACTACTGTTAAAGATGACCTGCAAATAGAAACACCTACCTCAGAGAGTGATGTCTCGTCCTCTTCACCAACTGAGAATAAGGTGGAACCTGATTCTGATGGAAATGGCAATATAACCAGCTCAGGTGCACAACCTGACAAGCCTTCTTCGTAAATGACACAATACTACTTGATACTTTTGCTTGCTTGCTTCATGGCTTTTCTATCTATGGAACTCTTGGGATGACCTTTTATGTTATTTTTAAAACTGCACATTGTTTCCGCAGATGATGGTTCTCAAGGAATAGCTGAGGACCAAGCCTCATCTCCAGAAAGTCCAGCCGTTGAAGACATAAACAACGTAGCTGATGATAAAAAGGATGATGTGCAGATAGAGACGCATGTTGGCGAAACCAAAATCCCTTCTGCCTCAAAAGTAGAGGATACAAATGCAGGAGTTATTTCTGACAAGAATGGCAGTGTTCCTGACTCAAATGACCAAACTAGCGTCCCTTCCTCCAATGAAAATGTGACTAAAGGTTTGCCATCTTGCCCTTTGTTTTCTTGCTTGATTGACTCTTTTAGTTTCACAAATGTTATGTCCAAGGAAACAAGTTGATAATAATAACTGAATAAGAAAATGCTTATGTATGTTAATTACATGTCATAAAATGGAAGTTAGTGTTTGAATTTATGAGGATGTGGTACAAAGCCATTAGTTAGAACTCGCCCTCGCAAAACCGGCTTTCAATGGGAGGGGACCCAAGGGCTTATAAACCCGTTAAATCATCTTATATTTTATTCCATGGGGGACGTTTGATATCCAACAGGATGCTAGACATGTTACTTTTCATTTGACAAAAATGTTATCTAGGATTGCTTTAGGCTAAAATGAGGAATGATGTTATTTGTGGGCAATATGAACATAACGGGGTGAAGCTATTAGAAGTGCTCAAAATTATCCATAATTCTTTCCGAATTTTTGTTTCTTTTGCTCATTATGATCTCTCTCTTAAAGGTGTCTCTGCCTTTAATCTCGGTTGATTGAATAACTGCAGCAACTATATCACCAGCTCTCGTGAAGCAGCTGCGTGAAGAAACAGGAGCTGGAATGATGGATTGCAAAAAAGCTCTGTCTGAGACTGGAGGTGACATTGTTAAAGCTCAGGAGTATCTCAGAAAGAAAGGCTTGGCAAGTGCAGAAAAGAAAGCCAGCAGAGCTACTGCTGAAGGAAGAATAGGTTCATACATACACGATAGCAGGATTGGCGTGTTGGTTGAAGTGAACTGTGAGACGGATTTCGTCTCCAGGGGCGACATTTTCAAGGAGTTGGTAGAAGATCTAGCCATGCAAGTGGCTGCATGCCCTCAAGTACAGTATCTTTCCACCGAAGATGTCCCTGAAGAGATTGTGAACAAGGAACGGGAGATTGAGATGCAGAAGGAAGATCTATTGTCAAAGCCGGAGCAGATTAGGGCCAAGATCGTTGAAGGCCGGATCAAGAAGAGGCTTGATGAGCTGGCATTACTTGAGCAGCCCTACATTAAGAATGATAAGGTTGTGATTAAGGACTGGGTGAAGCAGACAATTGCAACCATTGGGGAAAACATAAAAGTGAAGCGATTTGTGCGGTACAATCTCGGAGAGGGCTTGGAAAAGAAAAGTCAAGACTTCGCCGCTGAGGTAGCTGCCCAGACGGCAGCGAAACCGGTGCCAAAAGAGCAGCCTGCTGTGGTGGAGGAGGCTAAGGAAACTGTTGAAAAGTAAGTGCGACTTTCTATTAATTGGACTTGCTGGTATACAAGTTTTAACTTGTAAGGAAATTTCTCTTTTTATATCGAAGCAACTAAAAACCCCCCCAATAACTAGATAATATTTTGGATGATAAAGCATGCAAAAACGTACTCAAAGCTCTTGCTTCCAAGGGGTTTAGGCAATTATTTGACGTCTTGCAAGTGTTTTATATATTTTTGGCTCTATTGCAGGTCTCCAACTGTAACCGTGTCAGCCGCTTTGGTCAAACAATTACGTGAAGAAACTGGAGCAGGGATGATGGACTGCAAGAAAGCTCTTTCAGAGACCGGAGGGGATATTGAAAAGGCACAGGAATACCTCAGAAAGAAAGGTCTCTCATCCGCCGAAAAGAAATCCAGCCGACTTGCAGCCGAAGGCAGGATCGGTTCTTACATTCACGATGCCCGCATTGGAGTTCTGCTCGAAGTGAACTGCGAGACAGACTTTGTCGGTAGAAGTGAAAACTTCAAGGAGTTGGTTGATGATCTGGCAATGCAAGTTGTGGCCGGCCCGCAGGTGCAGTACGTATCAGTTGAAGACGTTCCAGAGGACATAGTGAAGAAGGAAAAAGAACTCGAGTTGCAAAGAGAGGACCTCAAATCGAAACCCGAGAACATCAGAGAGAGAATTGTTGAGGGTAGGGTCTCCAAGAGGCTTGGAGAGCTTGCCCTTCTAGAGCAACCCTACATCAAAAACGACAGCATCTTGGTGAAGGACCTGGTGAAGCAAACTGTTGCTGCTCTTGGCGAGAATATCAAAGTTAGAAGGTTTGTTCGTTTCACTCTGGGGGAGACGGTTGAAAATGCCGAGGGAGTATCCGAAGCATAAAGCTAGAAAGGCTTGTCGAAAACATGACGAAATATGGTCGGTCTGAGTAGTTTTACTAAAAGGAAGGTACAGAATGAGTGGATCAAACTAATTTTTAGATCAAAGTAATCTTTTGATTCTTTTTTGTTGTGATTTAAGGTAAAAATGAGGCGTCTATCTGTAGCCAGACTTTTTGTACTTGTTATATCACCAAAAACCATTTTGAGATCTGCATCTGAGAGAGGAAGTTGGGCATCTTTTGGTTTATTCTTTGTTGTATTAATGACAGAAATACAGATTCTGTAAATGCATTTTTGGAACCATCATATTTCATATATCAAAGTATGGCCTATTTTCATACTAGACTGGCTCTCGAATGGTAAAGCTACAGCTATTCCGCTTTTTGTATTGCTTAAAAAGGAAAGAAAAAAAAAAATGTTTTCCTGTTTGATGCATAAGTTCACTATGAGATTTTACCATACTTTTACGAGGATTCTACTTCCAATCCGAATTTCATATTTGGATTAAGTTAAAAGTTAGGTTCATACCTAAGAATATTCTAAAGAAAATTATGCTTATTGCAGAAAAAAGAATATAACATCACCGAATTTGGAATAAAATGAGCAGCACTCAACAAAAATTTACAATAATTTTGATAAAATCCTCTGAATGATAGCTCTTAAAATTATAATCTCCGCTCTTCAAGTAAACTCATATCTGAATTTTAACATCCCTTATCTATTTGGAGCTTTCAATACTTCATCAAATTCATATAATAGTTTAATAAAATTCAGTGAAAAATTCACGAAAATTTCATGAAACAAAATACCAAATATCCTTGAATAAAAACTAAACTTTTTTGGAGTAAATAAGTTAAATATATATATATATGTGTGTGTGTGTTTATTCTTATAAAACTCAAGAATTTTAACATGTTTCATGATGCTAATGATTAAATAATTTTCACAAGTGTATCAATTCATTACTATTCTCATCTTCTTTTGGGTAAAGGGGAAATATTGCTGTTTAACCTAAACGTCATAGCAATACAACTAGAAGACTCCAGATACAGTTCAATTCTTAAAGTAGGAATTTAATTCCAATTGTTGCAAAGACATGACCTCGGTGAAATCCAAATAAACTAGGATTGAGAAAAAAACCAAGCAAACAGAGCCTAAAGTTCTTTCGTAAAAAAATGGGATGGAAAAAAAAAAAAAAAAAAAAAAAAAAAAAAACTTTTTTTTTGGGTTGTCAGATTTTGTATCTACATCTCTTCAAAGTAGTTTTTGCTCCGTGAGAATTCTTGGTGCAATCCTTGATTAGTGTTTGGGCACAAACCGCCAGAGGTCAACGGCAACGTCCACCTCCTTTTTCTTATGAAACTTGTATAGCTGCGGCACATCGAATCGAAGCTGACAACATAACAAAAGGAGCTCTGATCATTAGTAAGTTAGAAGCAACATATAAAGCTTCATGAAGGTTTTGACCAACAAGAGTAGTGATATTGCAGCATCTTAAGTTTTATTTTCTTCTTCTCTAACAATATTGCCTAGTTGAGGTCCATGTCACTTCTTTGAAAAAATTTAAAAATTCTTACATCATTTCAATGCAAATGTCAATGCTATATTTGGCATTAAAAAATGTGAATGGCATATTTAATATGTTATTCTATTCTGTACTCTAATGCATGTCAAGCGTAATATATGCCAAATTTTTTATTTTTTAGCACTCAAAATAGCTTCGTATTGGAAAGTGGTTTTCCTACTCAAATGCTAAAAATTGGCATTGGCACATTGATTTAGCACTGCATTGGAGATATTGTAATGCCTAACAAGACTGTTACTTTAGAAAGCTATTTTCACTGACCTCGCACAAAACCTCGGCACTGCTGGCGTTGAAATCCCGCAAGGCTGCTCTTCTCACATGCTGATACAACAAGCAAGAAAGATTTTGCTGATATTCTTTAATCACGTTAAAAACTCTAGTCAAACGTTATAATAAGCAGTTCGAGCACAGAATCTTGTAATTGGATAAAATAAAAACATTCCTGAAGGGAAGACGAGAGAAAACCTTTTTGACATAATGCTAATCTTCGTCATATGGTAAAGGCTAAGGAAACAGTGCTTAAAGCTTGAAGTGCAATTCAGGAAGATTTGTCAACAGAACACATTGATTGTTTCATACAGAGCAATAATCACAGCATGATCCAAGCAGGACATGAACAAAACGTTAAATGCAGAACAAACAGCTGGATGATTTGATTTTTGGATTGTCAATTTCACTTTTATGCAAATGTGCCTTCCCTATGTAATAAAATTTCCTTCGTAAAAGAAAATTTGTAGCAAATTGCTTACCTCTCTTGTTGAGGTCTTATGCAAGGAATATACTGCTTGAGAAGCAATCTGACAGAACAAGCAATGTGTAAATTAGAAAATATGCAAAATCAACAGATTGAACGCTTCAGTTTCTACTAAAAATGATGTCACAATGATACATATGGAAAGCCGTACTTCAGAAATTGGTCCAAACAACTACCTACCTTCAGAGACATGGAGAGAAAATCCATATCTGCGCCCTTTTTCCGCGTTCCAAAAGGAGGATTCATTACTACAGTGTCAACAGATTGACCTAAATAAACAAACACATTAATAGTTAAGATGGATTTGAAATCATAAACAAACAATGCTGGCTGTATTTGACCAAAAAAAAAAAAAGGTTCAAGTTTAATTTATATTTGGAAGACACACACTACAAAGGGCGGGGCAGAGACTTTTTACCTCTCCATCTTAAGTTCTTGACGTCACACTGAATGTATTCTATATCCACCTGCAGATTCAAGAGAAACAACATAGCAATTCTGTTTAGGGCGAATTAAAGGAAATAGATGAAGCATAGCAATTACATAAGAGCAAATGACTACTCAAATTTTGTTTGACCTAACGGAATTGTATAATAACCGGCGAGCCAAAAGGTTACACAACTACCTACCGAATCATGAAAGCAACCATACCTCAAGATCCTCCGCATTTTGATAAGCAAGTTCAAGAGCCTGGGAGTCGACATCAATGCCAATTACATGTCTGATTAAACAGAAAAAGAATCACGACCAACACCAAAAAGCTAAGAAAGTACATACCTTCCCTACTTACATTTCATGTATCACATTTCAAATTTAAGGTGTTCCCGCACCAAATGGCTGAAAACCCTACTTGCCTTTGTATGCCAAGTCAGTGGACCAGAACACACAAGATGTGAAAGAAGAAAAGAATAAATAAAAACTAAAAAGGCATGATTTGTTCATTGCGCAACAGAAGCCAGCCAAAAAAAAAAAAAAAACGTGTGATGCCAATTTAACTTAGAGAATCAACAGTTGTGGCTCCAAGGAAGTAGGACTTGAATTGACATATGAGCATATCTTCAATCTCCACTAAATAAATCTTAAGAACCAATATATATATATATATATATATATATATATATTCAAGGGTTACGTTTCCATCGCTCGTCACCTCTAAATATAGAAATGACCGTGGCGTGATAAGAATCCACACACATATGTATATTAAAAGAAGAAACAAAGCAGGGAAAATTGTTACTCACTCTGCGCCCAAGAGTGCAGCTGCAGCACCTAATGTACCACAACCACAGCCAAAATCAGCCACTATCTTGTTGCTCACATCCCCAAATGAATTCTCTGCCTGATCCATTTCAAAAAAAAAAAAAAAAAAAAAAAAAAAGAAAGAGCCCATTATCATCCCCACATACTCAAACATAATTAATGCCACCGAACAACAACGGATTCACAGTACTGCTAAGAAACCACCTTATGAAATAAATCTAAATAAAATTATTGCTTGCATGATAAACAAAAGATCGTATCGTTATCATAAAAGAGGAAACAATTTACTATCTTTATAAATTATGGCATGAGCTTAGAAAGCATAAAAACAGAAACAACTGAAGTCAGTAATAATAATAGTATCTAAAGAAGAATTGACGAGAGAGCAGTAGAGTAGAGTACAGTGTAGAGCATGCGGGAAGCAATGTGGGGTCCAGTTGGGTATTGCTCAAGTTCAATCTGCATCACATGGATTTCACCAAAAATCATGATTAATTAAGAGTTGAAAAGAATGAGATAATCACTGAGTTTGTTTTAGAGAGAGAGAGAGAGAGAGAGAGAAAGAGAGAGACTTTTGGGTTGGAGAACTGTTGAAGGCCACCAACGAGGCCTTCCAACTGCTTAAGCTTCATTTTTGCTTTTGCTTTTCTTTTGCTTTGGAGGAATCCTTGGACGGACGAAACACAGAGAAGGGAGAAGATTCAACTTTCAAAAGTTGTCGGATGACCTTTTCTTCAAACCCTAATTTTCAAAAATAAAATATTTTTTTAAAGGAAAATAAATATTCTTTTGAAAAATAGATAAATATATAAACGCTTAATATATATCGACAAGGCAAGATATTGTCGTCTGAGTTTCCTTTAGTGTTGTCGTTTTAGTTTTTGCTATTTGTAAACAATGATGTCGTTCATTGAACTATTTTTGTAGTTTCCCATCAGAAATTAGTGTTGTCGTTTTAGTTTTTGCTATTTGTAAACAATGTTGTCGTTTGTTGAAATATTTTTGTAGTTTCCCAACATGTCATTTTGATATATATCGTCCTTCTCAACCTTATTGTCGTTTGCTAGAATATTGTTTCTAAAGAAGACGATGGAATATTCTCTTTCGGATAAAAACATGAAGGATTATTTTCATCATTGTTAAACTTTGCTATTTAAATTTTAAAAATTCTCACTTTATCTCTTGAATTTTGAATTTATTAAACAGAAAAAGAGAAAATTAAGTGCGGTAATATGATTTTTGTCTATGTTTTTAACAGAAATTCAGATAGAAATGTCATGTGTCTACATTATTTTCTTTTTTATATGTTTTTTAACAAAAATTACAACAGAATAGGTGAAATGGGAACAATTTAAAATTCATAAGATAAAGTGAGAGTTATTAAAGTTCATAAGACAAACTGAAAATAATAAGGCACCAATATTAATAATCTAAACACGAAATTTTGTGTTGATGAAAATGTCGTAAGATCTTTTCACTTCCGGTTTTACAGTAGTTTGTAGATCTCAAGATCATTGACGTTTTCCAAAATATTTCCTGTTTTAGTTGTTGTTTCTTTATATTGAAATTTTTTTTTTCAGAAATAACCCTTCAAATTCAATGTAAAATCAATATTGTTCTCTTTGTTTATTATTGCGCCTTTTATTTAAATTGTTTAAATTGATCTACTTTAATAAAGAGACGGTCATAATTAAAGAAGTCGATTTTACATTAAAAAAAAGTAGTTTTATAAACTTTTCCCTTTAGTATTTTCTTTCATTTATGAACGTTTATTAGTTTACAAGATATAGATTCTTTGCACAATTATGTCGTTTGTGATACATATAAAATGATTCTCTTTTTTATCGCCATTCCCTGGTTATTGTCGTTTTCACTAGATATTGTCCCCACCAATTCATGTTGTTCGATTTAGATGGTATCGTATTCTAGCTGTCGTTATTATGGGTAAGTTAAGGAATGTGCATTTAGACACATGAATCGTGATTACACCTGCTAGTACAGGAGTCACTTACAGGATGACCACTGGTCATCCTTTACAGTCAGTTATCAAAGTTGACAGATGACCCTCATATCGTCATTATTGCCGGCAATGCTAATCAGAGTCATTTACTGAAGACTAATGGTTGTCCACGAGCATTGATTAGCAAGTATTCGACGCCGGACCATTGGTCGTTCTCGTCGCCAGAGTCGCACAACGAAGCATCTTAATTAATGGCCACTGGTAGTCACCGAGGCCACAGGCAGCGGATTACTAGTGGCTTGGAGGTTGTATTGTCAGCAATAAAAAATGTGCCGATTTATGTGTCATCTTGGGGAGCTTAACTAGCATAAACTTGTAACAGCAAAAATGCTTTTAGAAGCACCTTTTATTTTATAAGAACCTGGTCCCAATTCAACTTTCGAACAATGAATGTTTAGTTTAGACCACCACCAAACGCTTGGTATTAACTATTTGCTAATATTTCTGTTTGGTTGCAATAGAATAGATAGATATAATTTGAATATCCAGAAACAAGTTTGAAGAAAGACCTCAATCCTGTCTAAAAACCCTACTAGCAAAGTCCATTCTCTTTTGGCCCCAGATACCATTTTGAAGTATAGCAACGATGGAAAAATTTTCAACTATCGTTTCAAACACTGATGAAGGAACTAACGACTCGTACAACACATTAATTATACAGCGTGCCAATGACCATTGTGTAGCCGGGCATTCGCAGTCTATAGTAATCCTCCGATCAGTTTATCTTAGTCACTTGAAAGCAAGGAAGCCAAACTCCAACTACACAAAGCATGGTAAAATATTAAGAATCCATTTTGACCAAAAACCTTACTACCATCATCCAACAACTCTAGGGTCCAACCATCATCCAACAACTCTAGGGTCCAGACGCCCTTTGGGATAAAAAGTGACAAAGACGGAATATTTTCGGTTAGGTATCAAACACTAACAAGACTAAAATAATGAAACAAACTAAAGATTATACAACATATCGGTAGGTGATATATCGCCCAGCAGTCTCACTTGGCCGGATTATCTTCACGACTTGTCCGCGCTTCAGCCCGTAGTATCTTGCAATTGGATCAGTAACTTGAATGCGAGGAAGCTGAACTCCGACCACCCAAAACATTGAGGGAAAAACAAAATATAAGGATCTAACAAAAGATTCTACAAAATGCAGAATGAGGTCTGACTGAGTGTATGCATAGCGATACAGACATCTAATCTCAAGAAATAGTAAGCAAGAGTTTGCTAGAACTGTTGGCTGTCTATTTTAACCATTTCACAAATTTAAACATGCAAACTCCAACCACAATAAACTGTTACAAAATGGCTAATATACAAGGGCTATCTATCAATTAGGTCACAAGTAAAGAGTGAGGGTAATTTGGTGAAGTCGGACTTCTATCTATCAAAAAACTTACAATTTTTATTCTCTCTCCATGCATTTCTCTTCACTACTCTGTCCTTTTACATATGACTACCATGTAATATAACTCAATAGGCTAACAAGAATTATTGATATATTAGTTTCCTAACATTAAAATCCTTTTGAAAACAATGTGATGTTGCTAGGTACCAACCTGTGTTTCTTTCACTGTATAACGCTCTAGCAAAGTCTTCTTTTCCTCGTTTGTGAGCACTTGATGCTCAGGAACAAGAACATGCTCTTTGATGTTAACCAACAATTCCGCTTCCTGTCTCGATACAAGTTAAAAAGATACAGTAAGATCTTCCAGGTTCACAAAGGAATGCAGAAAAGCAACAAAAGTTGCATTGCCGTGTCCCCATACACCAAGGTCCAAGGAACCAAATAACTTTACCACACTAGATAAACCTCAATGCCCAATCTAAGCATCATTCAAACCAAAGACCAAAACTCTTGTATCAAATAAATAAAACCTTTTAGCCCAAAAGAGTATTGAAAGAAGAGAAATCATCATGATATTAGTAGGATATTGAAGACTGCACACTTTGTCTAGCGATAATATATTACAAATGTAATAGTGATCACCTGAAAAACCTCCAAGTGGAACTTTGTAGATATCTCACTTATACAGGTCCGAGCAAAAGGAGTCAAATTCTGTTGAACAACCAAGACTGCTCTGAGAACATTCTCCGACTTCATGCGGTTAATGTAAGTCTTCATTGTCTTAACACCCACCTTTTGTTCCTCAGGGAAGAAGACATAAATCTGGTACACAAGAAAAGATTATATAGCACCATCCGGTGCTCAAATATGTCAAAATGAAAAACTCATATACTTAGCTCTACCTTATCACATGATTCGGAAACCTCATAGAAAATTAGAAATACATAAGAAGAATACATTTAACTCAGTGATCTGATTTAAGTGACAGATATCAAGAAGCATAGAATAGAACTAAGTTAAAGCTATGTTTGTGTGTACTCTCAGACTTGGAATATATTGGATAAAATCCATTAAACTACTACCCTTTTCCAAGCAACAACTTTCCAAGTACTAAAGAACTAGTTAAGAAATAAAATCAAGAAAATCTTAAGAACGTGTTACGCTAATACTGCCATTAGAGTTTAAACCCTTTAAAAAATTAAAAATGGAAACCCTTTTAAGTACTGAAGAAATTGATAAAAACCAAGTACCTGATCAGGGCTATCATTTCTCCTTGATTTATTGATGATAAGGTCTTCCCTTTTCATGTTCTCACCGTATTTGTTCCTGAACTGTTCTTTGGTCATGTTAAGCTCAAAATCTCCGACCAAATAATTTCGATCCCTCAGCATTTGCATCACTGTTCTTCTGATCCTGAAAAGCCTTGTGATTTCATCCTCTGACAAAACCATCTTCTCCCTTCCAAATTCTGAAAAATAGTCTGTTAAACTGGTTAGCTTTGCAAGTACGATATGTGTGTGTGTGTGTGTGTGTATATATATCACAGTGCCCATTATAAGAACATTCTCAACACAAAATAACCCAACGGGAAAATTCTACCATTACCATAACCATTATTAACCAATGAGCTAAGATTTACATTCCAAATCAACCCATTTTGAGATTTTGCATAATCTATGAAAAAAATCCCGTCCCATCACAGAAGCAAAGGGAATGAACGATTATAGAAGAAAGAGCCCTAACTTTAATCTTGTTCTTTTGCTATCTCCAAAGAAAAGGAAAACCGACTAAAATGTTCTCAGACTAATTCCAGAAAAGTAATTGAAAAACAAAATTTATCTAATCGCAACTAGAGAAGGGATTAATAACAACGGGACTATAATTATGTAATATATCTATCTATAAGCTCGCCAAACCTAAAAGCTTCCGCATCAAATTCGACAAAACTCGAATCTATTTTTCATAATTGACTACGAATATCAACAAAAACTAATTTCTATCTCCATAATTGTTGCGTTTCCAATTCTTCATTTTTATTTGCCAATGGAAAAAAAATAATTAAAAGATTCAACAAACGGAAGCAATGAAAAGCTGAAACACAAGAAAGAAAAGAAGAGTTACGATTTGAAGAAGAAAGGAATGAGATGAGAGAGAAAATATGAAGAGAGAGAAAGAGATTGGAGAAGGGGGAACATACCGGTGGCGTTGAGGTAGAGCCCTGAGTCTTTGGCGTAGGCGAAGAGGGAAAGGGAGAAGCAAAGGCGGCAGTATACGTATATATACGCGCTGTTTTCATTTTTGGTTAATTTTGTTTGTGCCCCTAAATTTTAGAGTTATTTTTAGTTTCTCCCTTTAACTTTAAAAACTCTCACTTTATTCCCTAAATTTTAAATTAATCCCACTTAACCCTTTTAGTTAGAATTTTTGTTAAAAACATGTAGAAAAAATAGGAGATTAATTACGTTCGTGGGGTTTTTTTCTGTTTTTCTTTTAAAAATTCGAACAAGAAGAACAAGTGGTCGCACTACCCTCTTTTTTAATTTATTTTTAATTTATTATTAGTTAGAATTTTTGTTAAAAACATACTAAAAAAATATGAGATTAATTACGTTCGTGGGGTTTTTTTCTGTTTTTCTTCTGAAAAATTCGAACAAGAAGAACAAGTGGCTACACTACCCTCTTTTTTTAATTTATTTTTAATAGAAATTATAACAAACTGGATTATTTTCATTTGTTCATTTATTTATTTATTTTCACAGTAGACTTCCTGAGTTTATTGTTTCTGACGACTTTGAACCATAAATATTATTTTGATGTGATCAAATGAAACCTAAGTTTAAAACTTTGTTGCAATCTCGTCTAATAACTAATTAGTAATGGCCATTAATTAACAGACGGAATAATCCCTTATTTTTATAGAAAATGCATTAAAAACTCTGTATTGGTTGGCATGTGCGACCTTCATTACGTTAATTATTATTCGGACAACAAAAAGTAAATTTTTACAGACAGTTTGTGTGAGAATTTACATGAGTAATAAAAAATTAAATCATCCATAATATTTGTGAAGTGAAAAATGGTCGTATAGATTCTTGCATTTTAGTTTAAAAGGAAAAAAATTAAGTAAATTGATACTTATTCAGCAACAAAAAAAAAAAAAAAAAGGTAAATTGATAATTTGTCAGTTTGTTGTCGTTTACGGCATATCGGTAGTTTGCTGGTACTTAATATTTACTCAAGGGGCATTTTTTTTTTTTTTTTATCATTCATAATATAGCTGTAATTTATTGGTTTTGGTCGCATATATGAATTTGAACAACATGTCGTTTATATCCTCAAATTTTCTGTTGTTGTATTGGAGTTGGCCGAGCCTGGAGAACATTGATCGATGATTCAGCAAAAAATGGCTTTCTACAGCCCTTTTATTTCTACAGCCAGCCTCGTTTATTTTGCTCGTTCAAATTGATAACTTAAGTTAAAAAATGAATTTAACTATAACAGTAAAAGTTGAATTTGAGTTTTTATGAAAAAAAAACACTATAGTAAGAACTTGAGTTGTGATTTGAAGACGTTAAAAGGTCAAATTTCAATTGGTTGCAGAAAGTTTAGCATTTGCAAAGATTTCTTTGTTTCTTTGCCCTAAAAAAAAGCATGATTAGAACTAAGAGTTCGTTTGGTACGATGATTCTAATCATGATTTTGAAACCATAACCATAATTCATTATTTGGGTTCAAATCATGATTCTGAAATCATGATTCAGAATCAAGGGTTTGAGTCACCTTAAATTAAAAGGATGAGTGGTTTTAAAATCATGATTTGAGCTAATTTAAAACATCACATCAGATTCAGAATCATTCAAACTATGAGTTCAAAGGAAACACTAATGTTGTCCTGGAACCCTACTTGCAAAGTAGATCCACTTTTGGAGCCAGATTCCATTTTGAACTAAACATGGCAAATATGGACAATTCCTCAACTATACAGCGTATTGGTAGGCGACATATGTCCCTGCAGTCTCACTCGACCGGATTATCCTCACAACCTGTCCACGCTTCATTCCATAGCATCTCGCAATCGGATCAGTCACTTGAATGCGAGGAAGCAGAATGCGATCGACGCAAAACGTGGAGTGGACAACAACACATAAGAATCTAACAAAGCATTCTAAGAAATACTCAAAAAAATCTAATGATATATAATAGGAGTGTAGGAGTCATTGTCTGGGTGAATTTAGCAGTTAGCTTACTGAAAAATCACATACCATTCCAATAACAAAAATCACAAGAGACTTACCTAATTATATCAGCTTCCACCGTGAAAAATCAAGATGCTAACAAGTATAGTCGTTTATTATTTTCTAAACATGATTGTCTCCTTAACAAAGCAAACGTGACATTGTTGGTACCGACCTGTGTTTCTTTCAGTGATAGTGCTCCAGCAGAGTCTTCTTTTCCTCGTCTGCGACCACCTGATGCTCCGGAACGAGAACGTGTTTTGTGATGTTTACTAACAATTCATCTTCCTGTCTCAATACAAGACAAAAACAGTAAGATCCTCGGTTCACGAATTGCGTGGTCATAGCAACCAAAGTTGCATTGTCATCAGCATACTCCAAGACTATACAAAGATGCATCATTGTTTACATTGAAGATAAAAGGTGTGCCAAAGTAACAAGCCATACCACACATCCATTCTACTAAAATCAGCATCTAAAACTGAATACCGACCTAATTCTCAATTTGTATGGATGATTATCTGAATGCCTTAACCACCCCTCCATTAGTCTACCATCAAAACTCGATAATTCAACGTTTTAGCGCATACTAAACTGAACATATATGGGGAAAAAAATCTTTCTACGAGTATTTGGACACAAGTTCTTTAGTCAACAAGCTGCAATTGTGAGTCAAAGTCCCAAGTTACCTAAACAATCCAGTGACTTACCACATTAGACCAACTTCCCTACTAAAACCATGCGTCATTTCAAACCAAAGGCGAAGCACTCGAGTTAAAATATACGGAACTAGAGTTCATTTTAACAGATACCCTTTGGTACAAAAGATCCTTGGAAGCACGCAATCCAAGCAGACCATTGAAATATGGAAGAGGGATCACAAGAAAGTAAAGGGAAATCATCATGACATTAATTGGACCTTAGGGACAAGAAAATTTGTCAAACATCATCACGAAAGAAACAATGTTCACCTGAAAAACCTCAATGTTAAACTCTGCAGACCTCATAAATATATTGATCCAAGCAGAGGCAGTTGTCTTCTCTTGAACAACCACGATTGCTCTGGCAACCTTATCTGATTTCATTTGGCTCGCATAATCCCTTATCATCGAAGAAGTCACCTTTCCATTCGAAGACTTCGGAGCAAAAAAACAACAAAAATCTGGTATACGATAAAAGATTTATAAGGTCTAAGCCCCATAATATAGTAGATGGAAGTAACATGGTTAGTAGGTAAACAAAGATGCATAGCCAAGAAAAGAGTTGCAGCAATGTTGATTGTACTTTAAAACATTAAAAACCCCAATTAGTAGGTATCAAATTGGCATACCGTTTAGCAGATGTGAAACAAACATGTATCCAAGTTTAGTGTCCGTTTAGCCTTGCTTTTGCTTATATGTTTAGGCAGTGAGAAAGATTTTTGTGGAGGAAATAGAAAATAATTGAAAGTTATTTTTCCCTTTCTGTTTTCATTTTTTAGAACTTATTAACAATGTTATAATATATTAATTAATAATTATAACTAAACACGATTTCACTTTTTTATTATATTCAAAATAATCTCTTAAAAAATCAACCAAACGCAATTTCAGAATCGGTTCTAAAATAATTCTCAAAACAATCTTGTTTTTACTTTTGTATTAAAAATAAAATCATTTTGGAAACGTTACCAAACGAGCCCTATAATTTTTCAATCAGTGTTTGGAACCACATATTTAAAACCGATAATGTGACAAAAGTGATATTCATATTTTCTAAAGTTTATTAAATCTTCTTAAAGCTTCGATACAAGTTTTAAAGTGTTCTTAGAAGAGCTTTCTTGAGAAACCATATTGTGCAATTTTTTACTGGAAGCTCCTTTTGGAGGGTCGAAGCTTTTCTAAACAATTATCCACATGCTCAAGAAAAGCAGCTTTTGGACTCAGGAAGCCAAAAATGGCTTTTGGAAAACAATGCCAAACAGAACTGAGACAAATAACCAAATGCATTAATTGAAACTGTAAGAAAAATACCTGATCAGAGCTGTTATTCCTCTTAGCTTTACAAATGGTAAAATTTCCCCTCATCATGTTATCCTCATATTTCTCTATATATTGTTCTCTAGTCATGTTAATGCCAGAATCTTGTACTAAATAATTTCGCTCATTTAGCATTTGCATCAGGGTTCTTGATAGTGAAAAGCTTTGTGATTTCATCTTCTGACAAAGACATCTTGGCCTAAAACAATTCCAAAAGATGGATTGTCAAAAGAATTAAAACAGTGATTTCATCCAACAAAATAGTACATAATAAATCCCATGCAAACAACGAGATCGAAATATAACCAATTTATTACAGTAGTTTATTAACTTAGGAACCATGAAACATTAGCATGTAAGACAAACACCTATCCATGCAGCCTCCTACCATAAAAACAGACACACAATCAGAAAAGGAAAAAATAAATAAATACATAAGAAAATAACTTTTGTTTATTCTCTCTCTCTCCCCGCCTTTTTTTACCAAATCCAACAACCTTTTAAAGAATGATGTACTTTTTAGAAAAAGAAAAAATACATTACAAATGCATGAAAAAATACGAACACTAGTCTATACACACAGGTTTCTATTACAAAAAACACGACGCGATATGACATTGACGTCAAGTTCACAGCAGTAAACACGACGCGGGCAAACAATTGATTTTACAGGTAAACTCCAACATAATGGACTTTAAAGACCGAAGTTTCGCTCGTTTCGCTAATTCGAATTTAAAATTTGAGTTGAGATGTGATTTTATTTGAGAATTTTTTACTGTAGTAAAAAAGTTAGATGTGACTGTTTGTGAGAGCTTTTTACTGTAGCAAAACTCGAATTCTAAACTCGAATCAGTAAAACGAACGAGGCCAATTAATTTAAATTTTTAATTTAAATTGAGATGTAATTTTATTTAAAAATTTTTTATTATAATAAAAAAAAATTAAATTTAACTGTTTTAAAATTTTTTTATTATAATAAAATTTAAATCAGTGAAATAAATGAACCTTAAAGTTTAAAACAATAGCAAAATAAAGGAGAAAACAGTTTCAAGAAGTGTAATATGCATAGTAAATGGCGTTGAATGATTCGAGAGAAAAGTAACAGCAATTAATACGTTTTTTTTTTTTTGTTAGAAAAATCAATTTCGTACATTTATTCATCTCTCATATTAAATGAAATCTACAATTTCTCCCTCTATGTTTGAACATTCGCAAGAAACAAAACAGTGAGTGTCCAACTCTAGGTTCATTTGAAAAAAAACAAAACAAAATTAAAAACAAAACCATACATAAGAGAAACGAAAACAATAAAATATATAGAGAAGAAAAGTTTGGAATTGAAAGGGAAAAACATTACCGACGGGGTGAACACTTCTTGGTTGTATCACATTTAGGGATTGTGGCAAATAAAAAACGATTAAAAAATAAAAACTGGTTCTTTTTTTGGTTTCGTTTTACTGAGAAAAAAAAAAGACTTCTAGCGTTTTTTTTTTTTTTTTTTTTCTCTTTTGAGCAAATGGACTTCTAGCGTTACTTGGAAGAAAAGTTTCATTTTACTGAACGAAAAAAAAAAAGATTTTGACCTGCTCCTGTGCGGTAAGGCCCATGGTAAAAGAGAGTTCTACTCGATCAATGATCAATCACGATGTGCAGGTTATGTTGTCGTTTATTAAAAAACTCGACATGTCATTTTGAATCCCAACTTTTGCAACGATGAAGACGGTAATGCCGTTCGTTTTAATCATTTATGGTATTTCTATCAACACAAAATTCTTTTTTGAATCCCAACTTTATAAAGTTTAGCATTCTTTTTTTTTTTTTTTGAGAAGATAAGTTTAGGATTTTTCTGCTGTTAGAAACACACTAACGAGAAAGGCCAACCAAAATTTCCACAGCCTCCACTGAAACAGAAACACGGTGCCCCCACATGGTTACATGTATATAGCCAATACAACAAACCCATCAATCAGCATCACCTAGACATGTCTCCCAATCCTAACCCCTCAACCCATCTAGTCTCTACAAAAGTGGCAGTGAAATCACAATATGAAAAACAGTAAGGCAAGGATCTGCCAAAATAATATGTATTTAAAATTTGTCTAGTTCGTTGATTTAAATTTTTAATTTAAATTGAAATATAATTTTATGTAAAAAATTTTTATTATAATAAAAAATTAAATGTGATTATTTTTAAAAAAAATTTACCACAAAAAAACTCAAATCGATAAAATAAAATGAGTCTGTCTCGTTCACTTTGCTAATTCGAGTTGAAATGTAATTTTATGTGAGTTTTTTACTGTAGCAAAAAAATTAGATGTGATTTTTTATGAGAACTTTTTATTGTAAAAAAACTCAAATTCTAAACTCGAATCAGCGAAGTGAACGGATCACCAGTATCACAACACAACACCATGTAACTTGTCCATTTTCCCATGGAATGAATGTTAAAAGTCTATCCACTCACATCCTTATCCTCAAAGTTCAACTATACTATAAAAACATGTTGTGATTGGCCGATTATGGTGAAGAAAACAAAGGCAAAATCTTCACAATCTTTTGCCATTTGGTGCTGTTTGATTTGCATTTGGGTCATTTTCTTTTCACTCCACTTTCTTAACTATTCAAAAAGCACTTTTTTTCTAGGCAGCCAAACAAAGACTTCCAAGTTTCAACACTCAATAAGAATTCATTTCATTTTCTAGAAGAGAAGAGAGGGCACTAAGCAGCTAAGGCAAACAAACCATTTACATATATGTAATCATGTATCTTTTAAGCAGACAGCAATTAGAGTACATAGAGGAGGAGAGTGATAAATTTTCAAACATACTGGGAAAACTTCAAAATTACATAGCCCACCTACTGGAATGGTTTCTTTTTGTTACACTTACACAAAATATTCAATATCTAGAAGCATACATGAATAGGGGAAACAGAATGGCCTGATTTGAAGACCCCCCCATAGAAGCTTTTATGCATTTAGGTCCATCCATGGCGTTTTTCACTAACTAGGTACGATTTTTGCACTTTTCCATGGCCCTTGGGGCTGTAACAAGCAAATTGAAAAAAGAAAAAAAAAAAAAAAAAAAAAAAAAAAAAAAAAAAAAAAAAAAAACAGTTCAAAGAAAATTATTGAGCTGGTAGAAAAAAGAACACTCCCCAAGGAAAAGGGATGACAAAATTAATTGCGAGTTTGAACTACAGTTAAAACCTTTTTAATTTATAAAAAATTTGAATTTCTATTAAATCCAATGAACCAAACTTATAAGAGAGGAGATTCTAATCCTTATATTTTTGATTGAGTGAAAAAGTATTTATTATCCCATCATTTATATAAGAACATACCAAGACCAATAGCATCTGAACTCTTCATTATCCTCAGCCTCTTGCAAGACTCGGTAAACATCCTGCAAAAAGCCAAACAGTAAAAGTAAATATGCTACAGTCTTTGACAGTCGTTACTGCCTTTTGAAATGAAACTTTGATTGATATATTTACACAGCAATGTATTTACTGTTATAACAGCAGTCACAGGAGAAGAATATTCACATCAAGTCAATCAGCATGTAATTATATTGAAGAAAATTTATTAAACCATCTTGTCATCAATCAGGTCCACAAATCACAAATCACATGGATTGCCCTTGCACGGGAGGAAAAGGACGCAGAAAGCATTTGCATAGATAGCAACTGATATTAGATTATACTCTTACTTTCTTTTTCACATTTAATTAACAAATTGGAATTTATTTTCAAATTTTGCTAAATAAATATCTAAAAAAGAATTAATGGTGAGAATTTGACCATAGTTTGCACTAGATTTAACCTATAACAACATGTCACATTGTCATCACTAGAAAAGCCTGCTCTGCTAGATTATTTTATAGAGATATCAGATAAACTGAACTTCTTGAAGAACCGAATATTATAACCTCATGGATAATGATCAGATCACTAAAAATAAATCATGTGTCAATAGTGACTTAAACTTACTCCCAAGGAACATCACCAACTAGCATCCAATCACCATCCTTATCTTCATAGGTGAGCACGAATTCAGAACCATGAAGGAGATCCATTAACCGGCTCTTGCTTAATCCATCTCGGCTCGAAACTGCATTTGAGCCGCATTGACCTGAACAGAATTCAAAAGAACACAATTAAATTGATTACCCTTTTAAAAAAACTTTCTTTGGTGGCTGTAAATCACACATGGACATGTTGCTACAACTATTAAACATCTTTGAATTCAATGCGTACAAACAGATTCGTTGTCTAGTAAAGCAGTTTAATAGAGAATTCTACCAATTGTAAAGCAGCTAAACTTTTTTTCCAGAGCTGAAGATAGTTCCATGTAGCTGCCATAAGTTTTGAGATCAACCTTCCTCAGGTATGGTGCACCATCCATGCTGACCTTAACATAAAGACAGCCCGATCCCGCGTTGCCTTCGGCATCATCTTCGGTTTTCGGAGGTTGAGGAGCCATCGAATTCTTCCGAAAAGACCGGATTGGTGGCCATCCCACAACTTGTGCCCTGTCAGAGAAGCATTACAGAAAATGGTCATATTTCGTGTAGATCCCTTAACTTAAGAATCTGAACCCAGTTACAAAGTGATTAAGGCCTAACTAACAAATTAAAGAGAAATCTTTCTGTGCCTTATAAATCTAAACTAGTTTGTCCTTTTTTTTTTTCTTTTTATCAAGACAAATATGAAACAAATGAGCAGGGGACTTCCCAGAACAAGTTATTATGTGATATTGCTTGAGAACGTTGAGCTGATACCAAGGTGGCATGTAAAAATATTTGGGAGACAAACAAACAAACTGAAATATAAGAACATGCAACGGGCAAGATGCACACTTTTGGGACCATGCAAAACCTGATATAAAAGTTTTAGTATTTTTCCCATCTTCATTTATTCTTGTTTGACTTAACCCCAAACTAAAAAGAATAACCCAGGTCTTTTTATTTTTTTTTTTCTACTCTTAAGAGAGAAGGATGAACAAACAACATTCAAACGTTAACCAAACCCAGAAAAGTGAAAATAACACACAAAACATGAAAATAAAAACTAAAAGAAAAAAAGAATTCTATGTCTCTCTGTCCATATATATATATATATATATATATATGAGAGAAGAAAAAAGAAAAGAGTAAATTATTACTTAGAAGCAGGGGCAGAAGCCTGAGGCTTGCTAATCTTGTCATGCAATGGCTTTGGAGACTGAGGCGGAACCGAAACCCCATCTTTGGCACTCGTCGTCTGATTCTTACACTGATCAGACCCAGCATTATTCACAGATTTTGGAGAGAACAAGTTGGCTGGCGAGTCGGAAGATCCAGAAGAGAAAACCCAGTTCCCAGAAGCTCCATCAATGGCGTCGGAGAAGACCCTCTTGGCCCCGGCCGAGACCAAGCTGATCTTCAGTCCCCCAGCGACGTCGTCCGCGTCGTCGTCTCGTTCTGGGGATTCGGACCCCGGCAAGCCCAGCCTCAGCTCCGTCGCTTTCAGATTCAAACCATTTTTGTTTTTGTGGTTGTTTATTTTGGAGCTGGTTTCCATTGAAGGAACTGGAATACTCTCTGATAAGCCTATGTAATCATGCTCTAAGGGCATAGACATCAAAAGGGTCGCTTCTAGTTTCTCACCAGACGATTTTTTTTTTTTTGAGTGCCAAAAAACACAGAGAAGATGAGTTTGAAGAAGAAGAAGAAGAAAAAGAAGGTTCTTTAGGCTTTTGCTACTCTCTTTTTCTACTGTGAAATGAGTAAGTGTAGCAAATGAGTTCATAAATAAATAATAAATCTGATTATTAAAAGAAAAAATAATAGTTATTGGATATGTTATTTTTTATTTTATTTTATGAAATGGTTATATATGTTATTTTAAAGTGCTTGGCTTGTAAAGAGGAAACATGGAATCGTTTGGAGCTTTATTTTATTTTTTATTTTTTTGTATAATGAGAAAAACAAAATTGTTTTTTTCTTTAGAATTGTTTCTTATTATTATTAATTTTTTATTTGTTTCTGTATTTGAAATTTTATAATTTTTGTGAACCTTTATGTGGGCAACCTCTCCGACAGGTCACAGAAAGTACCCCAGCAAACTTTCCCATATTGCCCCTTTTCTAAATTTTTTTTAATGTAATGTAAAAAAAATTAATAATAGGGAAAAAAAAATCACAAACGTACGCGGAGAATGCTAAAGTGCGCAGGGACAGTGTTTGGGGGAGTGGAAAATTGAAATGGGCACGGAATCGCGGAAAGGGATGGGACGAGGCGGTGTCTGTGTGGAAGCAAGAGAAGAAGAAAAAATTAAAAATTTTCTCGGATTTTTGGCCGATTTGCTGTTTGGATTGCAGGAAATATTAATAAAAGTGAATTTTATCCAAACAAATAAAAATAAATATTGTGGAGGTGAGTAAATAAAAGAAAACGAAAAGTCGAAGAAAGTGAGGGAATTTTGAGAAAGCTGCCTCAAAACGCCAACAAAATCGCAAAAAAATAAAAATAAAAATAAAAAGAGACGAAAACGGCAGTTTAAGGGAACTGAAAAGAAATCTTTCTTTTGTGCGGGTGATAGAGAACCGACTATGTGCCCTCTCTGCTTGTACAAGCCCCGATCTTGTTTGGATCTCTGGAATTTTGTATTTTTTTCCGGGAAATTTTGCAGCTCTTTTTTTTTTTGTAATTTTTTTTCCTCTACTGCAGTTTTTGTCGTTAGTAATATCAATTAGCTCGTTTACATTTTTTTTGGCGGGAGACATTGTTGGAATTACCGAGTGGATTTTTTTTTTCTTCCTAAACGAGACGTAATGAAAAAAATCCTAGAAATACTAAGGATAGTAAATAGCATATTTTTTAAATTAAATTAAGTAAATAACTAAATATGATATTTTAAAATTATTTGAACTGAATAATAATTATTATATAAATGTGTTATTTATAATTAGTAAAAAAATAATTTACGTGGTAAAAAAATTTTATTTATACGAAAAATATCTTTTTAGTAGTCAAAAAAAGTAACTATCGTGAAAAAAAAATTTATTAACTGTAAATGAAATATTAATGTGATAATTATTATTTATTTAAAATAATTTTAAAATTTATTATTTACTTAACATAGCTTTATAAATCTACTATTTATACATTCTTCTGAATTACAAATAGAGGGACAAAACCCACAAAACAACAATTAGAAACAACCCTAGTGGAGTTAAGATTCACAACGAATTGATTAGCCCAAAAAAAAAAATTTCACAACGAATTAATCGTGCAAGTAATTAGCCACTTAGAGGATGTCGAAACAACCCTTATTAACGATTGGAATTATTACCCAAACAGCTTTTAATGTTTTTATATTTTGTTTGTTTCCGTCGATTATTGCAAATGGATACACAAACAGCTGAAATTTTGATATAGGAAAAATAGAGTTCGTTGTTATTGACGTCAGTTTTGCATTTTTTTTTTAATTTTAATATGCATCTAATCATAAACATATCACAACCTATGTGTATCCCTTAAATACTCTTTTTTTTTCATGCCGTATTATCATTCTAATAATTATTGTTACTATACATTATTGTGTTGTTATTCACAATTACCTGTGAAAAATTATTGAGGTGCCACAGCAGTAAATAATAATTAAAACCAAAACTATTCATGAAATATTATTTTGGACCACGAAAAAAAAAAGTTATACTATTCAAAAACCAATTATATCGTATGTATATCATTTTCATAAACAATTACATATTGGGTGGCATAGTAATAGGTCGATTTTATTGCTCGAAGACCCAATTCAATAGCTCGGGATTGTTCGTTTATATTTTTTGAGTTATGGTGACTTGATTTTAGATTTTGATTTGAGTTAAGATGTATTTGAGTATGGTTTGAATTATGACTCTAATTTGAGTTTGTGTTTATATGAGCACATTTTGAGTTATAATTTAAATTGAGAATCTATTTTAGTATATGTTTGGTGGGTTAAAACTTGAATTTATATCTGAACAGTATTTTAATAAAAACTAAATGGTGATGAAAAATTTTAATAAAGTATATGGGTGGGGTTTTATTCGTCTCTTCGTTGTGAACGCATAGAAAAAAATCATCTCAATCGAAATTAAAACAAAAAAGTTATAATGTTTTTAAGAATAAAAAAAAATATTGTTCATTAACTTAAGTTTGAGTTTAGAAACTCGAGTTTAAGGGGGAACTTGAACTCAGATTTTAGCTCCAAACTCAAGTTAAAACTCAAGTTTTACAAAATAACGTTAACTTGAATAAAGTTGTAACTTGAGTTCAAACTTTGTCTGAGTTAAACTCCAAACGAACAACCCCTTGTTTTTTCATTCATCATTCAAAAGGTAAAAATAGAATGTATTTTCCACCAAAATTTTAGGGATTGTTCTTTTACATTTTTTAGTTAGGGTGACTTGAGTGATAATTTTGAGTTATAACTTAGTTGAAGTAATGCCCCGTTCATTTCACTGATTCGAGTTTTGCTACAGTAAAAAGCTCTCACAAACAATCACATCTAATTTTTTTTGCTACAGTAAAAAGCTCTCACATAAAATCACATCTCAACTCGAATTAAAAACTCGAATCAGCGAACTAAACGGGCCCGTTTGTGTTTGGATGTGTACATTTGAGTTATGATTTGAATTGAGAATCTTTTTGAGTTTTTGTTTTGATGGGTCAAAACTCAATTTTTTATTTAGATAGTATTTTAATAAAAAACTCAATGGTGGTGAATAATTTTAATAAGGTATATGGGTGAGGTTTTATTCGTTTTTTCGTTGTGAACGCATAGAAAAAAGAATCATCTCAATCAGAATTAAAACGAAAAAATTATGACATTTTTAAGAATAGAAAAAATATTTAACTTGTCGTTTCGAGAATTCAAGTTCTCAATTCGAATTGATATGTGATATTTTTTAAAATCTTTTAACTGTAACTGAAAAAGTTAAATGTGACATTTTTTTTTGAAACTTTTTAACTGTAAAAGTCTATAACTGAAGACTCGAATCGGTGAAATAAACGAAGCTTTGACATTCTAATGTTCATTAACTTGAGTTCGAGTTTATGAATTTGAGTTGAAGGAGAAACTTGAACTCGAGTTTAGCTTCAAACTCGAGTTTAAACTTAGTTCAAACTCAAATTTTATAAAAAAACACGAACTTAAATGAAGTTATAACTTGAGTTTAAATTTTTTTTGAGTTTCATTACAAAAGAACAATTAGAGCCCGTTTGGTTCATAGATTAGAACCATGAGATTAGAATCATTTTCGATTTACGTGTATTTTTTATGAGAAAAAATACTGTAACGAACCATGAACTATGATTCGAATCAGAGAACGAATCCTTCAACTAAACGGGCTCTTAGTCTCTAGGCCTCAAGGAAAATTCACTGCAGTTTGTGCTCGAGTTGATCATGTATTTTCGACCAAAATTTTGCATGTTTCATGTACTTGTAGCTTTTATTCTAGTGATATAGAGTTCTAAATCGTCATATGTTTATCAAGTTTTATTATCTCGTTCTTAAAAATTATATTATGTCAATATATATATATATATATATATATTGGGTTACCACCACCAAAATTTTCAAAAGGAAAAACTCCTCAACTTTAATTAGAGCAAACAGCTTCTATTCTTAATACAATATCAATATACCGAGTCTTGAATTGGAACACTCATCAGGGATGAAATTTATGACTGGACCCATCGAAGATCATAAATGTGAAAATAAATAAGAGAATGCAGACAGTGACTACTGAATTGACTAGAAATACAAAAAGCACAATAATTAACTTTGCGACTTCAAGGCGAAAGAAAGGAGTTATTGCATGACACTATGCATACAGTAGCATTTAAGACTAAAAAGCAAAACAAAACAAAATAATTTGATAGCCATGTATTTCTTTTCTCTATTATCATTTTCTTAAAAGGCATATCTTCCATCCTCAAATTGTAGAAAAAAATCGCAGTCCGATAAAACGAACAAAGTACGCCGACCGCTGTTCAGTTTGTTAATTTAAGTTAAAATATAATATTATGTGAGATTTTTTTTTTAATAAAAAAATTAAATATAATTATTTTTTAAAATTTTTTACTGTAATAAAATTTAAAATTTAAATTTGAATTAGTGAAAAAAACGCGACTACATGCATGCCTTATCAATAAATTCTCAACAATCAATTTATAAAAATTTAAAGAATTAGACCGCACAAAATGCCGCTTATAAATAAAATTGGAGGACTGAAAACACAGCTTAATATTATAAAACAAGACAAATACAACACCAAATCAGGATAAAAACCTCCTATATTATAAAATCACAATACATGGAAACACATGAGAAAAAATCCCAATCCTCGTTAACAATGAGATTGCCAACAAATTAAAGAGTCACTAAGAAAGCAGTAGAACTTAAGACACATACAACATTATCGAAGCTCGATCCAAATAGAGATGTATGAGCATTAATACTAAATTTTAGGGTCTGGAACGCAGCTATGTGTCTAAAGGCAACCCGAAACTCCGACCACTTCTTTCTCTTTAGACCTCGACCTCTTTTAATTTATTGGGTGCGTTTGAAATTGGTTTCAAAATAATTTTATTTTCAATAAAAAGTAAAAATTAAGATTATTTTGAAAATTATTTTGAGACCGATTCTGAAATTACGTTTGGTTAGTTTTTTAAGAGATTATTTTGAGTATAATAAAAAAGTGAAATCATGTTTATTAATTAATATATTA